AAATCATATCAAAATTATCAGAATATTTTGTCACCATTGCTGAGATTCACATGCTGATTCTTCATGTCTATGAGTGACAGAATTAAAACTCGTTTATATCCCATAATTCTTAAACTAGTTTATACAATTTTCTCACATTGTCACGTAGTATCGTAGAACTGCAATAATATAAAACTCATAAAAGAACTGCAGATTTTGATTAAATGCAACCTTTTTTTTTTTTAGAGTGGTCTTGGCCAGAGCTCAGGCTGTTTTATTTTTAGTTAAACTTAATTTTTGTTGCTTGTCTGCGCTCGTCCGCCGTATTTTTTCTTTTCTCCGACCCTGCAGCTCTCTCCGTTAGCTTCGTGTCAGGTGTTTCTTCAGTTACTCGTGCTATTTCTCCATGTCGAGTTCGATGTTGCACATAAATTGCACCTGACTATGCAGTTTGTACTTTTCTCTGAAAGTGTGTCTGTCTCACAAATGTAGAATCCGTCTCTGCAGTCATCTCAACCATCAAATAACAGCAATCAGACAAACTATTTTACCCGCAGAATTTATTCTCTACTAGCCTATTGTTTTGCGGTGTTGGTAAATTTACCACTTCATTTTGAATTAAAATATGTTGTTGTAACTTGGGTTACTGAGATTGTAACGAGTAATAATATTACCCAAATTTTATTAGTAATGCGTTATATTACTGCGTTACAGCAAAAAGTAATATACTACTGTAATATCGTTACTTTTGTAATGCGTTACTCCCAACACTGGCCCTTATTACCTCACTAGTGAGAACATGTAATGTAGTCGAGCCCTGCCTGGAACTTAGCTGTGAATTTCCCTGAAAATAATTGAATACCTTAGAACAGAGGTCCCCAACCACCGGGTCGCGACCCACTACCGGGCAGTGGAAGAATTGCTACTGGGTCGCATACATACATCAGGGTGCGAACTACGGGGGAGCTAGGGGGAGCTCGGCTCCCCTTAATAAGACATGGGCTCCCCTGAAAACGGGATTTGTGAAATTTTGGGGGGTCTCAAAAAATATTGACAATGCGTTATTTTGACGTGCAATTTCAGTTTTGTGTAATGTGATCATCGTGGATTATTATGTGTAAAATTGCAAAAATATCATTCATTCATGCATGACGGCGATTTAAACCTAATTCACTTCAATAAAGATAACTATACATGCTATTCTTGTCATGAGCATCAAGGTGTGGGGGCGCTGCGGTGCAAATTCCACTCATGTTTAGTACATATGTTAACTCAAAGATTCGTAGAAAAAAATATTAACGCTGGACTCTGTGGTCGATTCTGTGTTAAGGTAAGGCATGTTACTCGCAATTATGTGTTGTGGCTGGGTTGTTATAGGTCTGCGTGACTCTCGATGTCTTAGGCCTAATTCAATGGAGGAATTATGGTATTCTTCTGTAGCCTGACGACGAGTAACTTTAACCGTTGTTCATGTGAACTCAAAGACAGCCTGATGCTTTGTTTATAGACTATTTGTGGGTGGCTGTTTGTTGTTTCACCTATCAATTCGTGTCGATAAAGTATAATAGGGTAAATCCTGTATAGTGATTTATCCTATATAGTGCTTGCATAAAGCAAGTAGTGCATACACTTGTAGCTGTTATGTATCTTTGTAAGCCCTCTTTTGAGGCATGCGCAAGCGCACAAAACCGAAAAAATAGTCTGATCTGTGACAAAAAAAAACAAAAACAATATAATGCGTTGAACCACTATATAATGCTATTATAATTCTATATAATAGCCTAATATTAGGCTATTATATAGTATTATACCCCCCCCCAGCCGGTCTGCGAGAATATTTTCCAAACGTAACCGGTCTGTGGTGTAAAAAAGGTTGGAGACCCCTGCCTTAGAAAATTCGTCAGCCAATCAGCTTCAAGCATTCAACAGCCCCGTAGTATAAATATATATGTCTGCTGTATTAGAAGGTAATATACTGTATGTTTAGGTGAGTATGTGAATAATGTATATGCATTTTCAAAACAGTTTTGAAAGCAAGGACACACCAAAACCAGCTAATTTAGGAACAAAGCCTGGCAAGAACAAAGTCGCCGCAGTGCCGATACCATCCAAAACCTTGGTCGCCGTGGAGGGCTGGGACGTCTCCTGTTTATTCCTGTTTGATTTTAGGCTGTCAATCTCACTCTGCATCTGGGCAGCCTCCTGCTGAAAGCCCTGCTGCAGAAGAGCTTCCCTTTCCTGCAACACAAACAGCAACTGAATTAAGAAAGTCTAATCCTAAACTTGACCATAAGCACATTCAGTAAACCTCAAAAACACAGTCTGTAGAGCAGTTTGTAAACTCAAGACAATACAGTTTACCATCTAATCAAGCATGTCAAAAACATCTCCAAGTTAAATTGTTCCTGAGAATCATGCATGTTCTACATATTTTGCATAGAAACACTTTCTACAAACACATTACTTCTTACATTTGTTTATTTTGTATACACTGAAGAATCACTAGTGTAGAAATAATTTTCACTCAGAAACTGATACTAAATTTGACAAATAATTACAAAGAATTGGAAAGTTCTTGTAAAACACATTCCAGTAATCTTTTTTTTTCTTCAAAAACTTTTACATTTGTACAGTGTATTTGCATCTAAAGACAGCATGACTTAATACATTTGCTGAAATGCTGCTAAATGTAATCCTTTCTTCCCTTTATTCATTGCAGTGCTGACATTATATTTATATCAGTAAAACATTGACACAACACAACACAATGAATATTCCTCTAACCTTGAGCACTACTGCACTTAATTCAGGCCAAAGAGCTTAATGTACAAAAGACTCCATCCATACCTTTAGTAAATAATTTTTAAAATGTTAAGATTCTACTTTAAAAATCTCCCATATTGCATTGATTTGCACACCAAATTGATTCTTACATTGATTTGCACACCAAATTGATTCTTACATTGATTTGAACACCAAATTGTGATTAGTGTTTTCTTTAAATCTAGCCACACAATTTTCACTTTAAAGCACAACATTAATCATGTGAGAGTTTTTAGAGGAAGCATCCCTTTTTACCTTCACTTTTGCTTCCAGGACTCGCTCATTGTCTCTCCTCATTCTCTCCTGCTCTCTCTCCATCTGACTAATGATCTGATTCACATGCTCATCGTGGGTTCTTTGCATGTCTTTAAATGCCTGCTCCTGTAATTGGTTCTGTTCCTTTAAGCTGCTTTTTTGCTGCTCTAGGATTTCATTCTTTAATCTCTGCACTGTATAAAGAAAGAGAAAGGTTAGTCTGCTCACTCACTCAGATCTATCAACTACACATATCTGTGTAGGTACAATCAATCAATCAATCAATCAATCAGTCAATCAATCAATCAGTCAATCAATCACAAATTCTGTCAGTTATTGTTCATTCTCTGATTGAAATCATTGTACTGTATCATTACGAGCCTTGATTGATAGAAAGGTATGCAGCTGATTTGAATTGTACCCTCTTTCTCCTGTTACGCTGCGCTGAGAGATTGGTCAGCTTGTAGAATCAAATTTCCAGCCTCTTCCTTTGCGTTCAAAAACTTGCTAAACACGTCCTTACTCTGTGGGAAAAAAACACACATTTCTAATCATACAAAATATTGTTTTTTTTAGCACCTGGAGGCTGAAAACATCCCAGTTCTTGCATGGCCAGCATACTCACCGGACATATCACCCATTGAGCATGTTTGGGATGCTCTGGATCGGCGTATACGACAGCGTGTTCCAGTTCCTGCCAATATCCAGCAACTTCGCACAGCCATTGAAGAGGAGTGGACCAACATTCCACAGGCCACAATCAACAACCTGATCAACTCTGGAGATGTGTTGAACTGCATGAGGCAAATGGTGGTCACACCAGATACTGACTGGTTTTCGGACCCCCCCGGACCCCCCAATACAGTAAAACTGCACATTTTAGAGTGGCCTTTTATTGTGGCCAGTCTAAGGCACACCTGTGCAATAATCATGCTGTCTAATCTGCATCTTGATATGCTACACCTGTGAGGTGGATGGATTATTATCTCGGCAAAGAAGAAGTGCTCACTAACACAGATTTAGACAGATTTGTGAACAATATTTGAGAGAAATTGGCCTTTTGTGTACATAGAAAAAGTCTTAGATCTTTTGAGTTCAGCTCATGAAAAATGGGGGCAAAAACAAAAGTGTTGCGTTTATAATTTTGTTCAGTGTACTTAATTGAACAGTTCACCAAAATATATAAAAATGATTATAATATATTAACCATCACATTGCGACAAACAAACACAGTGTTAAAGAGTAATGTTGATGCTGCTACTTTACATGAAATAACAGTTCATAGTTATCATGGCTGCCTGGCACGCTCCAAAAGTACCATAAAAGTTGCCCAGATGACGTGTGTACTATATTGCATATTTTGTGAAGCATATCATCAGATAACTTGAAACATAAGAACAAGTCCATGAGTTATATGGACTACTTCCATTGTGTTTCTTTTGCCGTTTTTCAAACTTGACAGCCCTAATCATTGCAAACTATTGTTTGGATAAAAAGTATCATGCACATTCTTCAGAATTTCTCATTTTGTGATTCACATAAAAATAACTACAGCACACAGATTTGGAACTACCTGGGAGTGAGTAAGTGTTTCGGTTTCATGACTGTTATCTGTTATCATGATATCTTTATCAGCATTGTGGATGTTGATCGGTGTTGTTATGTGACCCTCCAGAAAAATTAAATTCACAATAAAAGCATGTGTGTATGTGAACTACCGTTATTTGTGAGTGTGTTTTTGCTCTGTAGTCACTGGTCAGCTGTGTGAGCGTGTCTCTGTACTGTCCGTATCCTCCAGGTTTCAGGTATGATCCATCAGAAATGCTTTTTTCCAGCTTATCAAACACCACACGCAGAACTTCCTCACACTGCATGAGAGACGCTTGATAATTCTGCTGGCACATATCTTGATATTCATCATGAATCTTCCCCTAAATCATGAGAAGCATTGAGAGACAACAAAACTGTTTATACTTTTATTGGTTATAAAGACATAGATTGAATCTCCATTACTTGAATCTGTGGACATATTCACTATAATAAATACAAGTAAGTTTTCTAAGTTTTGAAGGTTCATACTTTAAAGTTCTTTTTATTCTAAATGTACAAGATCGTTCAGTTTAATTTGATGTAGTGTGTATTATAAGTACATTTAGTGCATAGTGCAAGTATGCAAATTAGGACACTGTTTCATGTTGATCTCTCCATGTTTATATCTGTCTGTCACTGTTTTCCTGTCTGTCCATAATTTTGTTTGTCAACAGGTACTGTACCATGAGCTCTTTTTGGTAGATCTGGTCATTGTCATTGAAGGTCATGGTGATAAAAACTTCAATGGCCTTCTTCTCTGCAATTTTGTGGATGTCGGACAGCTCTTCTGGGCGCATAGGAAGCTGAGCTATGCTGAGCATCTCAGTCATGTAGAACTGCAGGGCCTGTTCCACAGCACGGACATTAGCCAGAGACACGACTGTATTCTCCAGACATGGAACCTTCCCGTTGCTGATCGCCTCTATATAAACCTCAGCAAGATTACCCAGAGCTGTCAGGAAACACAACTCCATAGTTCAGTCAATTGTCTTTTCTTTTATACACAGTCAATTGATCATTGGTTCTCAGAAGAGATTCACAACTAATAGTCATAAATTCTTTCTCTTTAGGAGATTTTGTGAAGGCACACACCTGTTCCAGTAATTGTACGGCCTCCATTGACAATTTTTGGCTCTGCATTGTTGTAGACGTAATGGCAGAAGGTGTTTGCCTGCTCAAGGAACTCTGAATCCAGTTCTTTCTCGGTCAGTTCCTCCATTCTTCTCATGTTTTGCGTACTAGCTGGCCGAGGGAACACAAAGCACTTCCTCACCGCAAAGAATTTGCATAGACAGCGACGGGGCAGGTTAAACCTGTCAATCTGACGTGAGTAACCTAAAAATAAGATAATTATGGAATCATAAGATATAAAAGTAATAAGCCCCAAGAAGCCGTTAATGTAAAAAAAAACAAAAAAAACTTAGTTGTTCTAAATTCACTGTAAACCACAGCTTCACTTGGCTTATTGTTTTTATAAAACCGTTACCACACAATCCACATAGTGAGGTAGATATGTGGGGGCGTGTTCGAACGAGCCGTTTTAGGTAGGTGTGGCTAACTCTTAACTTTTATAAAGAATATCTCTTTGGATTTGAGACTTTAGTCTTTGCAACTTTACAGATCTTCTTTATGCACCAAGAGCTTGTAACACTCTAAAGAGAAAGGAAAAAATGAAATCGCATCATATGACCCCTTTAAAGGCAAAATATATGTATTAATATGTTAATGGTATGGTTAATAACATCATTTCACTCAGAATGAAGGACCGAGACTATATTTTATTAATTATATTATATTTTGTAAACTGTATATATCACATTATGAGTGCCAATTTACTGTATGCAATGGACACTTTAATGTTATACCTAGTAAAAATACTTGTTCCTATTCATTTTTAATGTGCGGAGACAAGTTTTAGTAGGCCATTGTAGGTTGATTGGCACTTTGAAAATTGCTTTTTATTTCAGCAACGTATATAGCAACATAGGCTCAGCTCCATGGGTTTGGAGTTTTTCCCAAATAGCGAAAGATGTCACATTTAAAAACTTGTTTGGAGACAGTCATTATGTATGCAATTATGATGAGTGTTTCACTAGACTAGCATCATATAATTTCCCGTAATTTATTTTAAATGTTTTTAACAGGACAAAAATTGTCTGTGATTGCATTTTTGTACTGTATGTTTAGTGTCAACTTTTTTTTTCACCTTGTTTTAATTCCAATGCACTCCCCAGATACTCGTCTGATGTTATTGGTTTATCCTCCTTTATCAGTTGCAGAGTGAAGTTGCAAACAGCCCAGACAAATGATGGAAAAACACGCATGAAATCTGCTGACCCATCCTCGTCTTGACCCACTTCTGCCTTCACACAAATGTTTTCCGTCAGCTCTGTAACGTAGCTACATTCAGCACTGTTCAGGAGGAATAACTGTGCTGCTATTTATTAACTGTTTATAAAGTGTTAACTCTTAATATATCATATGTGTGAGAAGGATACTGCAGCTTTTCCAGTGCCATGTTGTCAATGACCCCTAAGCTGTTGTACACTAGAGTACTGCTGAAAAGAACCGCCAGACAGAAGATCCATGTGTCATGTTTCTCATCCCCCTAAAATATTAAAAGTATGTGACGCCAGTAGGTGGCCACTTATTTACATTTAGAAGCAAAATGCCATTCAGTTTAGAACTAATATGTAAAGTCCAAATAATTCTGTACAGTAAGTCTTCTCATCTGGTGATTAATTAATGGAAAGTGAAAGCACAATACAAGGTGATGGTAGATTTTTATTCCTATAGAGATCACATTGCTATGAATATTGTGTGGTTTTCCTCCTCACCTTTGCAACGTCACCAAGTCCCTCTGTGTCCAGCAGCACCAGAGTGTGTCCTTTTTTATTAGCGTGAGGGACACACCACATCCAGATGCCTTTGGTCTTTGATTCAATAGTGCTGCCGAGAGCAAAGCCTGAGACAATCGCATTATTAAAGTCAATGATAAATAAGAATGTCGAAGATGACAAACAAATCTTTTCTTAAAGATCTAGATGCCAATCCAGAAATCAAGAAATGTAATCTTTGTATTCATGTTGGTTTTATATGTCTCTTCTAAGAAAAGCAACTCCATTATATCCAATCCATTGGACCGCGCAGGCCGTGACATTAGCGGGGGTGCACAGAAGTATAAGAGGGCACCTGTAATGCACGTCATCAGCTTCTTTGTCCGAAGGAGACGTGACACAGGCAGGCCCCAGGCATGGCAAGGGGACGCAATGTCTCGTTCCGTCTTGGGGAACCATGGTTACATGCATAATCCGAGATGTTCCCCTTCAAGGGAACTCGTACTGCATACGAGTGGACACTATGGGGAATGAAATAGGGCCTACCCACTATGCCATTCCTTGGTGTATTGCCTGTCCACTTGGTTAAAGAGCACCAAAAATGGTAGCAAATTTACACAGATTAAAAGGGGGGGGGGCACGCCAAAGAGGCCCGGACAGCTAAAATAACTTGGGTAAAATGGGGAACCCAACCAACACTAATATTTTAATGAGGAACATCCCATTCAGCCAAGTTGGGAACACAACTGTCCTTAAACAGCAATAGGCCATGTTCCTAAAGGCAATAGGCCATCTACTTGAAACCCCAATGTGGGGGAGACAGCCCAAAGCATGTGGGATTACGGGGGACCGCCTATTTGAAAATACCATGAAATCAGGGGAGGCAGCCTAACATATCAAAAGGGAACCTCAGGGGGACCACCTACTTAAAGCCATAGAAGCGAGGAGGCAGCCCAACCCTGCTGCCAGAAATATTAGGAAGGAGCTCACAACTCAGGGGGAGACCTTACCAAAGGAAACCAGCCTAAACCGGGACATCTTTGACAAAAATACTTCCCGAATAGGGAGCCTAAAAAGAGACTCGACCTATCATCATGGACTGTCTACTCAAAAAAACTCAAATTACAAGGGAAACAGCCCAAGGCAAAGAGCAGCTCGTCAAAGGGAAACTTATCCTCAGAGAGTTACATTCTCTGAAGAGGCAGTCCGACCTAGGAGACTATACGAGAGCTCAATCCAAGTAACCAAAGAAGGGGGACCACCCAATTAATGCCCCTAGTAAGGAGGGGGAGGGGGGAGCCCAACCCATACATGTAGACCAAACAGAGGGTGCAAGGAACCCTACTTCAATATCCACATACTTAGTGAGGGACATCTTGCTCCACTCAAGCCAAAGAGCAGCTAATCAAAGAGAAACTATCTTCAGACAGCTACCAACTTTGATGTTTCAGGTGGGCCACCATGAATACACTGGAGGCAACCCGACCTGAGAAGCTGCTACGAAGAGAGCAATGAACCCTACTTAAAACCCAAAATCATTGGGGAGGGACATCTTGCTACAATCTTCATGAAGGGGATAGCCATCAAAGGAAACTGTTCTTAAACAAGTACGTCTTTGATAAACTTCCACTTAAGAGAGGTAACAAGAGGAACTTGAACGGAAACTTTCCACTCCCCCCGTGCCCTGCCTACAACCCCCGTGCTTGATCCCGCCTCACTGCAAGCACTGCAGCTCAACTCTCATCCCTCGAGAGAGAGTCACGCCTGGATGGAACGATTATTGTGACCGCATCACACAACACTCATTAAGCGTGCTAAGTTTGAATGTCACTATAATCCTTCCGAGAGCCGGACGTGCTCTTGCAAACGCTGATTACTATCCCTCGGGAGAGAACAGAAAAGCTCCTTATCTGTCACTTTAAAGTACACATGAAATCAAAATTGACTATATTTATTTTGTTAGCGCACACTGCTATTTTTGTGGTTAACAATTCATCCGTGCAAGTCAATCCAAAAAAATATAAATTGTGTGCCTTCGTAATCTTTAATCCAAATCTGAAAATGCACCTCCCCTCTGAAATGATGGACCTTTTCTGATGACATCAGTTTGACAGCTTGGGCTTGAGCATAACATCCTTAAACATGCCCCTCCAACTGTCAGTGTTCCGTGAGCTTTGAAACACCTACTTTACTACATCCAATCAGTAAACAGAAGAAAAAACAAGCCACGCCCTCTGTTTTTCTCATTCAATATTCCATTTCTCTCGGAAGTACGTCACAATATGGACGTAAAGTCGGTCGCAACTTCCAGTTCACGCGGACTTCAAGTTTTCTTGTGAATACATCACACCAGTCACATCCACTCTCTCATATTACATAGTTTCTATTTTGTATAAAAAATAGAAACAACATGGAATTCCTGAAAAAGGAAAACATTTCCCATCAGGTCACAGCAATGCTCCACCTACAAACCATGCGAAAGGTCCGGCTAGCTGTCTCAGCAACAACGGGACTCGAACCGCGGACAGTAGGCTGTCAATCTCACACGCTCCGTACAAATGCTAGAATCTCTCAAGAATCAAGCAAGAACAGAATCCACTACCACGAATGCATCGTTATGAGCCTGTTCAGCTCTAGTCTTGCGTAGCCAGACCTTCAGACTGACGGCAGAAGGTCTGAGAACCTTGGCCGCTTTGAATGGCAAGGACCACTCAAGAGGCCATATGACTGACAGATAAAGCAACCAATCACGTTTTGGTTTGTGCCGTGTCATGTTTAGAGGCGTGGAAATGTCCCCACAATAATAATAATAATAATAATAATAATAATAATAATAATAATAATAATAATAATAATAATAATAATAATAATAATAATAATAATAATAATAATAATAATAATACATTTTATTTGTAATGCGCCTTTCTTAATACTAAAAGTCAACCAAAACTACAAATATCAAAAATAAAATCATAGTAATAGTCATAAATTAAAAGCTTCAGTAAAAAGGTACGTCTTAAGAAGTTTCTTAAAACAATCCAAGGAAGCAGCATTCCTAATAAACACAGGTAATGCATTCCATAACTTAGGCGCGTCATAGGAAAAAGCCCTCCCTCCATGGTTTTTAATTTACAACGAGGCTGATACAAGGAAAAACAACCAGCAGAGCGGAGAGAGCGAGAAGGTGTGGAAAGAGTTGCCAAGTCACAAATGTAATCTGGAGCCAGCCCATGCACTGCTTTATATGTTAAAATCAGAGTTTTAAAATCAATACGTGATTGAACCGCGAGCCAATGAAGTTGCTGAAGCACTGGGGTAATGTGATGGTGTGAGGATGTATAAGTCAAAACCCGCGCAGCTGAGTTTTGAATATATTGTAGTCTCTTAACAGAACTTGCTGGTAAACCCCCAAAGAGAGAATTGCAATAATCGAGCCGTAATGTGATGAAGCATGAATAAGCCTCTTAGCATCAGGTCTAGAAAGAAAGGGTCTAATGCGAAGATGGAAAAAGCAACTTTAGTTATGTTTTTGAAGTGAGAATTAAAAGTCAACTGAGCATCAAAAATCACACCCAAATTACAGACCTGAGCAGGAGGAGATATTTGGGTATTGTCAACTGAAAGTTTAAAATTTCAGTTTTAGAACAATTTAGTTTTAGAAAGTTGTGTTTCATCCATGCCTTAATTTCCAGCAAACAGGCAGAAAGAGTTAAAAAGGAAGAAGTGGAATCAGGCTGAGTGCTAATATAAATCTGGGTATCGTCCACGTAACAATGATAGCCCAGGCCATACTTCTGAATAATCTGCCCAAGAGGCAGCATGTAAATACTAAATAGGACAGGTCCCAAAACTGACCCCTGACACAAAGGCGCAGTCTGAGATCTATTAGTACCCAGGTAAACAAACTGAGAACATTCTGAAAGATAAGATTTAAACCAGTTCATCACAGTTCTAGATAGACCAATCCATCTATGTAGCATTTTTTCAGAGGGGCAACCTCATCCAGAATAGATGCAAAAGCAGCATTATATTGGTCAACTGAGGCCACAACCAGTAAGTCACCAATAGTAAGACTAAGATATGGTCAAGATCAATATCACTAATTTTCCTAAAACAGATAGCATGCTCTTTCACAGTCTGCAAGGAAGGAGGAACCAAATTGAACGTGAGGAGCTTGTGGTCACTTATACAAACATCAGCACATTTAAGTTGTTCAAGGATTACTCCTGAAGTGCAAACCAGATCTAATGTGTGACCGTGTTTATGCGTTGGAAAGTTAACATGCTGAGTGAGATTAAAACATTCTAGAATGTCCATAAAGCTCACCGTATTAGCGCAATCCACGTTATCAACATGAATGTTTAAATCACCAGTTAAAAGAACGACTGGAACGATTGCACTGGCAAGCGTCAGAAACTCAGTACATTCTGAGAAAAACACAGAGTTAGGTTTGGGAGGACGATAAATATTTAACACCAAAACTGGTGAGAGACCATTCGGTTTAAATGCCAAGCATTCAAATGATGAAAAACAAGGCAATGAATCTTCAGTTAAAGCAACATCAGATTGATAAATGACAGCAAGACCACCACCTCTACCAGTGGAACGCAGTCAATCTATATAAGTGTAGCCAGGCAGAGCACACATATTTAGATTAAGATAGTCATTTGTCTGATTCCACGTTTCACAGAGGCAGAAAAAGTCCAGTTCTTTGTCCACAACAATGTCACAGATTCTTTGTTGCACAGTCGCTTTGTTGTTTATAAAGCGAGCGTTCAGCTGTGCAAACCTGATTGTGTCAAGACGGACACCTCCACTGGATGTAGTAGACTTCTGAAAGTAGGAAAAGTTTGCAGGACAAACACGACGTGGAGATAGATGCCGACGATCCAAGCGCCTCTGTGTCCAAACTGAGTTTATACCGGCACCGCTTACTTGCAAATTCCAGTGGGAGCCTCGATGAACGTATTTTGGCCGGCGGACGAGATGTAGCGAGCGCAGTGTATCCAGGACACATGTAGCAGGAGGCGCAGAATGTTCATACTGAAAAAGTTCAGAAACAGAGTATTGTAGCATGATGAAGTCCGGGTGATCAAGGTAAATCTTGCCATAAACTCCAAATAAAACCAGAATAAAAGCAAGTAAAATCCAGGAAGGCCGCATATTAGCAGCAGGTAAATGCCAAAAGACGAATAGGAAAAAATCCAAGCGTCAAGAGGCAGCAAAAGTCACCACTCGAGAGACATCAGCCCATCCAACATCAAAATCAAAAACATGTTAAAACAAAAAACAATCAATGTTAACGCACTGATGGAGAAGCGGTAACCACATTGCGCCAGCGTCCTCTCACACCGGAAGTTTTCTACATTTATGCAGCACTCAATGTCCTGAGACTTACAGAACTTCAAGTGTGTAAAACTCTTGGATGTATTTTAAATATTCTATGCCGCGAACTTTAAATATTTCACATACTTTTAAAAATCCAGCGTTTAGTTGACCCTGATAAGTGCTCATTATCACAGTTGTAAACACAACGGCTTTTTTCTAACATGAGGGGGTTTGGCGTCACGTCATATTTGTTTCCAGGTGGAACATTAAAGAATGCGACACGCATGTCTCCCGGAAATCCTGTATAATTCAACCAATCTGAGGACGACTTCTAAATTCCCGAAGTGTTTCCAATTTTGTGTGCCTTATGCAACACGTTCAGCCAACGGTCCATGGGCATGACGTCTGAGGCTGAGACTAGTTCAGCTCCCACAAGAGTCAAACGTGCTCCACTCAAATGCTATATTCCCCTGAGAATCAAGCGAGAACTGAATCCAATGTAGCGAATGCATCGCTATGAGCCTGTTCAACTCCCATGAGAGGCATGCTCGTGCAAATGCTGTCTACAATCTCGGGAAAAAGGTGAAGAAAAGAAGAATCAGACTTGCTACCTTCCCTCTCAGTAGTCCAGCGAATACAAAAGATGAACACGTCACCTCCTCATGAGTCGAACGCACTCCATCCATGCTTATTCACAAAGAAATTAGAGCAACGAGCGCATTCAACTCCCTCTTGTGACCATCGTGCCCTCCTACACCCATATATTACGCAAAATAATTTCTGACTGTTAACAGTTTTAGTACTGACCGATCATCGAACAGATTAAAATAATGTTAGAATGAAATAAAATTTACATCAACGAAAAATCATAAGATTTGATAACATGTCATGTTTAAAAACTAATTTAAACACTTTCTGCGTCATGACGTAATTATAATACATCATCATAACGCATTCATTATGCATGGCGCACGCAGTTAAAATAGTTTTGCCATTTATGTGCTCTTAAATATCATTTCTAAAAAAATTAGTGAAAAAATACAATTATCAGGGGCACAAGGCAGGAAGCGACGCAAAGAAGAGGAGCAGAAAAAATATCAATATAGAGGTAAAAATCACAAGTTAACGACTGTGTATTAGCCCGTGATGTTTATGTAGTATTTTGAAATAGCCTTTTTAGAACATCTCAACTGGCAACACTGACACCGTTTTTGCTTGAGTTAACTGCTTATTTAATTTTACTTTATTTTCTTTAAAATAAATTTAAGCTTCTGTAATGTTGTTTTCATTTCAGTTACATTACTGCTTGCTTTTAATTCACCCAAAAGTGTCTAAATGTCTTTTGAAAAAGACCATGACTAGGACTATAATCTAGCAGTCATAAAATGAAATAATTAAGTTTAAGTATGTCCTTTTCTACTGTATGCACAAAATTGAAATGAAAGGTATGGGTATGCTAATTAGACTAACTAGCTAGCTAGCTGGCTAACATCTACAAATAAATTACAAAATGTAGCCTTTATTTTGTTGCCTTTGTTGTCTGTTAGACTATTTTAGGCATTTCATATTGCTCATATTTCTCTTTGATGTAATAAGTACTTGTCACTGTAGGCATAGTTGTGGGAGTAGCTCATGGTCTTTTCAATAGGCTATTTTAACAGATTCACTCATAAAATACCTAAGGCACTTCAACATCTCCATTTATTTATTATCACAATTTATTTACTACTTATGTTAATACTTATCAGTATTTATGTTACGTAATATTATAGTAAAGTTTAGAAAAATCTGCATTTTCAGATTTTTTTTAGTGGGGCGGAAAGTATAACACAGGCTTAACTGCCTCCTCATAATAAAAATAAAAAAAAAATCTATGCATTCACTTTGTCTATACTCTTATTATCCTTTATCCCTCCCTGTCCTAACTTTTACTATTTTGAACGATGACTGAAACCTTGTATAATGGGCACTTCTCGTGTTTATTGCTTTGTAAGCCTCTGCCAAATGAATAAATATGTAAATGTAAATGTGTAAAACGTTCTGTAATGAAGGAAAAAATACTGAGTGCACCTGGTAGCCTATCTGAACTGCGTATTCATGAATTTTTTTGAATAAATTAATTTTGAGTACAAAATGAGCATCATGACGTTTATTCTTATTATTACTGTAATATTTAAACTTTTACTTTAATATTCATTTATATTTATTGTTTTCATCTATTAAATGGACTCATGTTAATGCAGTTACTGTTTTGCACATATTCAGTTATCCTATCCCTTATTATCATACCAGCATGCACTGCACATGAGAAAGATTTTTTAGCAGTTTCTCTCACCGGACTGTTGTCCTGCCAGGCGGTTCATAAGGTAAGACTTCCCCGTACGGTAGAGTCCCACCACAGACACCGCCACCATACCGCTCATTGATCCCATACCGGACCGGACATGAGCCCACCACACACCATGACTCTGCAAAAGAAAACAATAAAACACAACAAAGAAATTCTCGTAATTTCATAGTTAGCCTACACACAGAAATATACAAAATAAAGATTACATTTTGATATTGCCTTATTGAAAGGCAGATGGAGAAAATGAGGCTGTTTAGCCTACCGTTAGCGAAGTGATTTGTTGTTTTAAGCAGAAAGCGTAAACTGTTCTTAAATTCTGAACCGCATTTGCACTAATCCGCTCCTCCCGTCTCAATTGTGTTATTATTCTTCCATTACCGGATGCGCTCTCTCACTGCTGATGGTGCCACCAGGGCCGCATTAACCATTGGGCTAGGCGGGGCTGAAGCCCCGGGGCCCGAGCAAGGAGGGGGCCCGTGATTGGCTGTGGAGTAGATTGACGGACATCGGTAGCGCCGATCGCCAAAGCCCCACCTCGCCCCTCACTTTTTAGCGCTACATTATTTAGTGGAGTTTTTCCGTAAATTCCATGCATTACCATTAGAGATTAAAATGTCACATTTGAATTTTGTTTACCAATCAAATACATTTATTATATATTTTACTTTTGAACAAACTGTGCACGTAGCCTATCTAGCCTATCAGGTGATCGCTGCGCCTAATGTCTGCATTCACCTCTCTTCACTTCGTTCTGTATGGGATTACATTTCTGCCGCAATTCTGCGCGCGAAAGATCATATTTTGAGCGCGCAAAAGTGCGTTTTGCACGCGCGCGAACTGAGTTTTGTGGAGAAAATGTTTGTCTTGCAAAGAAGAAAGTATTTCGAGCGCACGAAAATCAATTTTGCATTTAAAATACGTTTTTGGATGTGTGCAGACCTTCTCTTTTGCGCGTGCAACATTTCACTAGCTTGCTCACCTGATGCCAGCCCTCAGTGCTCTCTAAATACCAACAGCTCGCGTGCTCAACACAACCCAGCGTTACAATATTCCATAATTCCAGCCAATCAGAGACTAGGCTGCTAAATTCTGATTGGCTGCCTTGACAATTTATCACAACATTCCTTGCATTACCTCGACAGCAGAAGAGGAAAAATACAGTGCATGCATAATTATTATGCAAGTTGATATTCTAACACATACTGAAGTGTAGTAAAATGCTTGAAAACTGATTTATATATATATATATATATTAGGCTTTATAGACAGATAAGTTGAGAGTGACTCTTGAAGGACCAGCACCACATCCTCTTGTACCACTGTTTGAAGAATTTATCTTCCAGAATCTGGCAGTAAGTTTTGGGAGTTCTGTTTTAGTCCATCTCGAGATTTTATCTGTAGAAGATAACCTGCTTAATAATTATGCACACCTGAATATAAGGCGTTTTTCACTTCCAGCCTTAATGAATAATAATATATATATATATATTATAAGTGATTAAATACAAGATTAATAATGGTTATTAAGATTGATGTTGTTTGGAATTGGTAAAATGTGCTTGGAAAAAAATATAATCAGAATATGAACTTGCATAATAATTATGCATGCACTGTATTTTTCCTCTTCTGCTGTCAAGGTAATGCAAGGAATGTTGTGATTGGTTGTCAAGGCAGCCAATCAGAATTTAGCAGCCTCGTCTCTGATTGGCTGGAATTATGGCATATTGTAACGCTGGGTTGTGCTGAGCACGCGAGCTGTTGGCATTTAGAGAGCACTGAGGGCAGGCATCAGGTGAGCAAGCTAGTGAAACCTTGCACGAGCAAAAGAGAAGGTCTGCACACATCCAAAAACTTATTTTAAATGCAAAATTGATTTTCGTGCGCTCGAAATACTTTTTTCTTTGCGAAACGAACGTTTTCTCCACAAAACTCAGATCGCGCGCGTGCAAAATGCACTTTTGTGCGCTCAAAATATGATCTTTCGCGCGCAGAAATGTAATCCCATAGTTCTGGTGTAATCTAGAAATGGTCATGCAAAGAGCAATCTTCGATAAGTAAAAATGTCAACTATTCTAAAAAAAAATAGCGAGAGAAAAAAATGAGGAGAGAGGGGAAAACATGAATTAGTCACTAAAATCCACAGCTAGGCTACTTTATTTGACTAAAGCTGATGATGGAATGGGAGCTGTGGAACCGCAAATGGACCGGACACATATGGAGCAGATAAAAACACAGCGTCACCATCCCCACAGATTTTAGGTTAATTTGATTATTAACTTGATGGATGTATATTTCTTTCTGTGCTTTAACAAACTCTATACGCCTAGTATATTCGCTTATGGGTTGAGAAATTAATTTTGTGCGTCACGATGTAAGCTTTTCATTTAAACGTATTTTAAGCATTGTGGTTTAAAAACTAATTTAACTGTTCAGGGACATTAAGCAGTGGTGCAGAATTAATTTTGGCAAATGCGCGCGTTAAGACGGTTTCTGATACGCGCGAGCGCACTTGCTCGTACAGCGCCTGACTAAACTTGTTATTTTTCGCGCCTTGTGTTTAAACGTTCGAATACACATTGTTATGTGTCAAAATGCCTGTCTCCTCGTCAACACAGTCATTTGTGTCTTAAATGAACGTTAATAGTTAAAGATAAAGCATGTGCACTAGTTGGCTATTATGAGATTCTGGCATTATGATGAGATTTTAAAGGGATATAGTTTTTTTTTTTTTTCATACTATGGAAGTCATGGGGGCACAGAAACTGGTTGGTTACCAGTATTGTTTCAAATATATACGTATGCATTCAACAACAGAAGGAAACTCAAACAGGTTTAGAACAATAACAACATAACTTTCATTTTTGGGTGAACTATTCCTTCAAAGCAGCCTAATATAGCTGCTGTTATTGCCATTTGTGTCAATAATGTAAATTAAACATTAGAAAGAAAATCACTCACTGTCCTTGACCGAATCACTTTTGTAAAATAATGTATATTGAATTTATACAGTGAAGACTATTCAGTCTATTTGTAGTCTATTTATTTTATACAATATAATCAGGGCCGTCGCTAGTGGGGTGAAAGGTGGTGACAATTATAGGGGCCCACGGCTGAGAATTAATCCAGTCAAACCAACAATTATTCAGACACCAGATATAATTTTTGATATTGTTTTACTAGTGGGTGCAGGACACTATTGTTCATTTATGTAAGTGAGTATAGCAAAATAAAGTAAACTGTGACATATTATACCCAAAAAATCTTCATACAGTGGACTACCAGTAAAATTGATT